AGGCAACGATGTGTGTCCCTGTCCTTCCGAGTTCTTACGTAGCCGTTTAGCCGAACAGCACATAGACGACTGTTGACGGGGATCCACTCTAAAAGTGCTTGTTCAGCCCTCATGCTTAGTGCTATCCCTACTCCTGCCGGTCCACGAGAGCTGGCCATCGGGTCACCAGATACACTGAGGGTGTATATCGTTGGCTCTCCGTTTTGCCGAGGTGAGGTCAAGTGAATGACCACTGGGATTCTGTATGCGTGTTTCGGAGACACAGCATACATCAATGGTACGAAATTCTAGGGTTCTAGCCAAGGAAGCCTGCTGACCGATTTGACATAGAGTGCGAACGTTGAAAGCTCCAATGTGTAGTTTGGAGCGAGGTTTCAGTAGACCTGGGACAGAGTTTTGAGCACTAGAATCGTTGGCAATGGTGACACTTGAGGAGGAAGTTTAGGGGTTGAAAGTCGATGTAGGAGGAATAATAGGAATTGAAGAGGAAGGTTGATTATGAACACAGTGGTCTTGGGTGCTGTTAGAGGTATGAGGGCAGTTATCACTTCCCGGTTGCCCACACCGTGGAAGGGTTCTTCTGGAGGTACCTGAAAAGGAAATTGGATTAGAGGCGGTCTCAGCGACCTGAGAGCGTGACCGCAGTGCCCAAGGGACAACTGCTTGAGGCCGGTCGCGCACGGCCTTTTCGTGGAAGGTTTTTGACATGTTAGCTCCGTTCTTCAAAGGGCCTTACCGCCGGAGACGGAAATCCGTGGGGTAAGGTGAGGTGTGCATTTTTAGGGTCGACCTTTTCTAACCCCACCCCTCCTTGTGGGAAGGCAGCATCGCTGTCATGCTGGTTGTCTGAAGGAAACACCTTACTGCTGTCACACCTCTGAACAGTCAGCAGTACGACTTCGCCTTCGGACCTTAGGTTTGTTGCTTTTAGTCTTACCGCTCTTCAACCGACCTGTCTGACATGGTAGGACCTTGAAGAACGGTTGTTCCCGCCAGTATAGCTCGGTTGCTTCATCACGATAGGCAAGCCCGACCACCACGTCAAGGTAGCAACAACGGTCGGGTCACAACAAACATCGATATTAAAACTATCCGAAGATATAGCCAGCCCTATCTGTTGTCCGACCTGCATAAGTGTGCGAACGTTGGAGGCAGCCAATTTGAATGGTGCACGTGGTTTCAGAAAAACTGCTTCAGTACTCGTATTCAGTGGTAGCATACAACTTTCAACCAGGCAGTGACTCGAGAATGTTCAGATAGAGCCGAATTTCCACCACAGGTGACCTACTGTATGTCGAAAAATAAGTATACAGAGTGGGAATAAAAGAGGGTGAATAAATGACGTAGTTAATAATAATAATGTGAGTCATTTGATTGTTATTCGGAGCAAGAATATTTTCCATAAATAGACAGTTCATCATTGCATCCAAGCACTTGTCGAATAGTAAAGGACTTACTCATCTCTTTTGGAGTCCCATAGGTGCTGTATGCCTTAGTCCAGTTTCCTGGACGCAACTGGTAGCAGACTTTTGCTCCACTGTTTACCACATACATTGCACTTTTCAGAGTTGGTTACGACCTTTATTCCAGATTGTCATTCCTTCATGTATTTTTTAAAATAACCTAGTTGACTCCGTAGTCAAAATTTCACCCTTATCCTGAAGGGAGGTGGCAATAAAGTACTAACCCAATCAACTAAGTCACAAGCGATAGGTAAGTAAGCAGATAAAATGTAGCTCAGTACTCAAGTACGGATCTGATAAGTGATCTTTAATGCAGTCTTCAGTAATAAGGATAGTAGCTTAATGAACCTGTGTTAATCATGACAGATTGCCTTCCAGTGAAGGTCCAGCTTCTCCTTGAAAATATTCACATATGGGGCTGATACCACTTGTTCGATTAAGGCGTTCCAGTCATTGACTGCTCGATGAGAAAAACTGGACCCCACTTTAAGTTTATTAGATCGCAGTTTGTCAACCATCTTGCTATGACCTCGGAGATTATTAGTGCTGGAGGGAGCAAAAAGATAAGACATATTAATACCCAAATAATAATTAAAGATACGAAATGCCAGTATGAGGTTACCTCGCGTTCTACGATACGACAAGGGACAAAGGTTTAAGTGTTTTAAGCGATCATCGTCAGGGATTTTAGAAAGACCTCTCACTAATTTTGTTCCCACACGCTCGAACTTTCGACCTCCGCACTATAAGTACGGCGCTCTAACCAACTAAGCTACCGGAGCACTATATACAAACACCTCAGGTAGAGTGAGGGCATACAACCACCTCTCTCCGTTGTTCCATTCGAGCAGTGGGGTTAGGCAGGGTTGCCCAATCTCACCATTCCTCTTCAACCTTGCCATCGATGACATTCTGGAAACAGCTCTGATGAATGTAAGTAATGGTGGTGGTGTGGATCTGTTGCCTGGAAAAAGACTTCTCGCCCTTGAGTATGCGGATGATATTGTCTTACTGTGCGATAATGCCCAAGGCATGCAATCCGCACTTAATCAGTTGGCAATCAGTGTCCGTAGGTATGGTATGTGCTTTGCACCTTCGAAGTGCAAAGTACTCCTACAAGACTGGTAGGATCCTAATTCTGTACTCACCCTGGATGGTGAGCAGATAGAAGTAGTCGAGAAATTCGTGTATATGGGTAGCTGCATAAGTGCTGGTGGTGGCGTGAGTGATGGGACCGATTCACGTATAATGAAAGCCAGAGCGGTTTATGCCAATCTGGGCCATCTTTGGCGCCTTTGTGATGTTAGTCTGAATGTAAAAGGTCGGATTTACAATGCGTCGGTGAGAGCAGTTTCTCTCTATGCTTGTGAAACCTGGCCTCGCTGAGTTGAAAACGTTAGACGACTTTCTGTGTTCGATCATCGCTGTCTCCGAAGGATTACTGACATCCAGTGGCAACACCATGTCAGTAATGCAGAGGTTCGGCATCGTGTGTTCGGGCACAGAGACGATAATGCAATTGGTGTCACCATCTTGAAACACCGACTTCGGTGGCTTGGACATGTTCTCCGAATGTCGTCCCAGAGAATTCCACGTCGTGCATTATTTGCCGACTCTGGGACTGGTTAGAAGAAGCGGAGAGGTGGTCAGTGCATGACATGGTGTCGTGGTATGAAAGTAAGCTGCAAAGGACTGGCTTGTGTTGATCCTTCACGACTCCCTGGCTGAGGTCCGAGAGATCGTGCAACACAGTGGCTAAAGACGTTATCAGATATGGCTCAGAATAGGAACCATTGGCGATCTTGCTGTAAACTTCTTTTAATTTCTTCATAAAAAGTGGTTGTATCTTCTTTAACTGAAAGATTTCTTCTGATGGTACCTTTTCGTTTCCGCCATCATTATTACGCTACCTTACCTTATTCTGTTCGTTATTGTTCTTTTTTTACGCTCCTCTCCTTTTTTCTTTCTCTTCAAATTCTCACTGTTTTGTGTGGCGCATATATATTTGGTGCCCTCTTGTATCAATATGTGTTCAAATAAATAAATAAATAGTAAAATCGCAAATATTAGATCGGATGGAAACTGAGAAGTACAGCATGTCTATATGGTCTCATGCAGAAAAACTACTTTTTACCTGGTGGACTTTTTTCTTTTGGTATTGTGGAGTGTAACAACTATGAGTTTAAACATGTTTGGGCTCATATCTACACCGTTTGACTAACGGTATACCGTATCTTCAACTGTATATGGCTTCCACAGAGATAGTTAATATAGTGGCTAAAGGATTCCATTATAAACAGTCAACAAGCAAGTCTATTACCCATGACTGTTCTAATCGATTCGCTGAGATTTAAGCTCCTCACAGCCAATCTTTCATTTCAACTTCTTTGGTATCGATCACGTAAAGTCGTCTTGATTCGTCGATGTGATTTAACAATCTAAGCTAAAGTACACCTATGCTAGGCTTTACATTATGACTGACAATCAAGAAGACTTTGAGTTCAAATTAATCCACAGGGTGATGTGGCATCCAATTTAGTTTAATTGACAAAAATACGTTGCTTTGCTCCTCATAACCCTTCTATATATTTCAAAACAAACTGTCTGTTGGCTGGAAAAAAGTTTAATTAGCTTGCAACTATACATCTTCAGCACGAATTCAGAACCCTAAATCGGAATTTACAAACTTGCGTTACTCGCAGCGTAAATAAGATGTCTACAAGTAAGACGAGTTTGGTGAGTGATAGCTCGATTTGTCCTACTTTATGGTTATAAAACTTGGATATTTCTCTCTAAATGCCCACATTATTTTCGTCTAGTTTTTACTACTACAACCAAAACTACTTTCACCTCTACCACTTAGGTTTTCCCTGACAATTTCATCTCGGTGCCAATATGGACGACTAGAACCGATGTCCATTAGTATCAGGCCCCAAGTTCCATATGACCGACTGGCACATGATTTGTTGAAGTGATTATTTGCCCAAGAAAAAGCTTTCATCTAATCACAAACAACATTCTGCCCAGCAGTCATCTCCATACTTACTTTAGATGGTTATAGTAGCTTGTTCCTAACCGTGAAACAGGAATGGACAGATAGATTCTCGGGACGTTTCAAAAATCTTAACCATGAAGGTAATAAACTTCTTATAAAACCGTGGTTTATAGTTATTAATTGATGCCCGCTTTACTAGTTGCGAAACCAGGTCGTAGTAAGACTACGAGTGAAGTGCTGTATATGGAATGATTCGCATTAAAAATTGAAAGACTTGTTTTTAAACACCACTAGAAGGTTGTGATGACTAGATCATTTGATACTCAGTCATTCGGTGAATATGTTTTAATAATGACTGAACTGCGGACAAAAATAAATATACAGAAAATTCAAAAACCTTCTAGGACGTACTACCTGAATTTACCACATATATACTAAAAAATCGGTAAGATATCCACCATGAGGCAGATTCGATTATCTATACACACAAAACAACCCAATGATTTACGATGCAACTTTAGGGTTTATTGAATACTTGTTACCTTGATTTTTTGAAGTCAGTTCCAACTATATAAGGCGCTTTGGATCGAAACTTGATCACTTGAACTACCTCCGAGATAAAGCTGCTAAATATTCTGACGATGTCCTTTACAGTTTCAACCTAAGCCTTAGCTTTATCCATGTTACCAGGTCTGGTGAATGAGTAAATGCTAAGTTAAGTACTACAATTACTTTGTCTACTATAGATAATTCATATAAAGCCAAAAACGACATAAATCACAACGGATGCAAAAACAACAAAACCCACAATTCAAAAATCGGCTCTGCAATGAGACCGCCAATAGCAGGGTTAAGCTTAACAAATCACTCGAAGGCGCCTATTTAAAAAGGACAGTGGTATTTTTCCTCGCTGAGTAAATTTGTTTGTTTTGATCGTTTATTACGTATCAAGACTACTGTTTTCACTTTAATTGAATTTATTTCAGTTAAAGTATTCAACTAGAGTATCGTTTTTACTGTTTTGTCGTTGGTACTCTTGAGTATCTGTCTTTCAACTGTATCTGTTAGTACTTTTGGTCCTAGCAATCTACAGCTCTGAAATTTTTGGTCATTGATTATTTTTTTTTTGTTTTTATTTCTGAGTATCATCGCATTTTGAAAAAGAACCCCTCCTAAATGACCCGACAGTGTAAAAAAAGCAGTTGTCAACCTCCGGGTTGTCGTTATCCTGTTGAAAGCGGCATGCAGTGCGACGAGTGCAAAGGCTGGTACCACGAAGTTTGCACAAACTTAACGCCTGCTGCTTTCAAACGGTTCAGTAAGAAGGGTTGTGTGTGGCTTTGTCAACAGTGCTGCTCGAATCCAAACAGCTTGATAACCGAGGCCATCTCACTGGTTGATACTGCAAAGAAGTGTTTTGGCAAGCATAGTCGGAAGGCGTCAAACAGCACTCGATCTGTCGATACGCAAATCAACGTGAAGGAAACTAAGGTTAGTCCTGTTATAGATGACTCACGCCCGTCAAAGAAGGAAAAGCAGTCTCCAAAGTGGCCTGCATTAAACCAAAGCTCAAGAAAAGTAGGGTCTTCTGTTCCCCGTCTCCCAGATGGGATCCAACAGGAAACACCTAGAAGCCGCAATCGCAAGGCTCGATTGGTTTCAAACGGTAAACATAACACGATCTCTCAGGTCGTCGACAACCCCCCAAAACCCAACACTAGGTTTGGCGCAACTGTTATTGCTTCTACCAGCACCGTTGACGAATGGGTAAAGGTTGTAAGGAAGAAAAGTAGGGATATAAAAGGGAAACATGCCCCCGTAAAAGTGGTTGAAAAATCGAAAGCTGATCATAGCGACAGATCAGCTATTTTTCATAGAATCAAGGAGAGCGATAGCTCTGAACCTAAAGCTCGTTTTGAGCATGACATTGTACTGATTAGGCAGCTGCTTCATCAACTCAGGCCTCAAAATATGACCGAGGTCACCTTGCTAAAGGTGTACAGACTAGGGAGTCTAACGGACTCGAAACCAAATCATTCCAGACTGCTTGAAGTAGTATTCGGCTCTTCGAACGAACGTGACCTAATTTTACAAAATGGACACAAATTAAAGGGTTCAGGAGTCTTTATCTGAAAAGACCTACCGTTGGCAGACCGTGTTAAAAGACGGAAAGCCGAGAAAGAACTACAACATAGGTTAGACGCTGGCAAAAAGGACCTGAAAATTGTAAATTTTCGGGTTGTAAGACTTCGACAGAGAATGATGCCGAAGCCACTCTGGGTGAAGCACTCTGGGTGAGGCACTTAAACAGACTTCGGATCTGTTACACCAATGCACGAAGCTTACTTAATAAGCGATCGGAACTAAGTGTACAGATTGACTCTACAAAGCCAGACATAATTGCAGCAACAGAAACCTGGCTGACACAGGCTATAGATAGTATAGAACTTGATTTCGAGGGCTTTACGTTAGTAAGAGCCGACAGAACACAAAAGCGCAAAGGAGGGGGAGTAGCTCTATTCATTAGGAATGCCATTCCATTTACCATTATCGATAGTGTATCCCATGAGAGTGGGACGTGTGAATTCATTAGTCTCCGCTTAAAATGCAAGGGACAAGAGCTGCTGATTGGTTTGGTCTATCGCAGTCCAAGCTGTGAGGCAAATGAAATCCTGTTAAGCAGTCTCAATACTTGGTCCCAAAGTGGTCGATGTCTAATCCTATGGGACTTCAATGCACCTATGGTAGACTGGGAAAATCTGCGAACTAAATCGTCGAAGAATTCTTTCGAGCAGGAATTAGTTGATGGGGTTCTCACATGTGCTCTAGTGCAACATGTGAAAGAAGCGACAAGGTACGATCCGGACACTGAATCATCCTTATTAGATCCTATACTGACTCACTATGAGGATGATGTTGCGAACCTCCATCATGTGCCACCCTTAGATAAAAGTGACCACGCAGTCTTAACTTTCGACTTCCATATAACTGCCAGTCATGAGGACGCGTCAGTCCAGTTCAGACCCAACGTCTGGAAAGCAAACATACCAGACATCATGCACTCAGCATCGTTAATAGATTGGACAATAGACTCAGAGTCCTCTATTGAGAAGGCCTGGGACGCATTTCGAAATTCATATTTAAAAGTTACCACACCTCACATCCCTTGGACTATACCAAAGGGGCCGAAAAACTCACCACCATGGTTCAGTAGGGAGGTCCGTATCCTTCTCCGTAAGAAAAGGAAAATGTGGGATAGATTTAGGTTACTGGGGCTGATGAGTCAAAATCTCAGTATCAAATGGCTCGGAACACTTGTGCCTCGACCCTCCGTAAGTCTAGAAAATTGTACGAAGAAAGACTTGTTAAGGAATACATAGAATGTCCCAAACGCTTGTATTTCTATATAAACCAAAGGACAAGGAGAAAAGGAAATATTCCTGCTCTATGGGGAGACAGTACTGCTTCATCATTAGTGGAGGACGACTTTGGTAAGGCTCAAGCGTTCTCGAACTACTTTAGCAACGTATATGCCATAGAAGCGCCCTTCTCGTCAGCCTTATACAGATCCCCCATACATACACTGGATAGCGTGACCATTAAAGAACTCGATGTCTTTGGTCTGCTAAATAAGCTTGACATAGGTAAATCCACGGGGCCCGATGAATTACATCCTAGGCTACTAAAGGAATTATCTAACTTCGTTGCAAGCCCTTTAAGTACATGCTGTAACCTATCCGTTACGCAGGGTCGCTTACCGAAAGATTGGAAAAACGCCATAGTAAGTCCTGTCTTCAAAACAGGTACGAAACACAAACCTGAAAACTACCACCCCGTTAGCCTAACTAGTGTGGTTGTTAAAATCTTAGAAAAGATTATTCGAAAGGAGCTGTTTAAGTATCTCGATATAAACCGGATCCTCTCGGAGAAGCAGCACGGCTTCAGAATAGGTTATTCTTGTCTCACTAACTTATTAGTAGCTCGTGAAAGTTGGTGCGCTCTTAAGGACCAAAAGCCACCTGTAGACGTCGCCTTCATTGATTTCAGTAAAGCTTTTGACAAAGTTCCGCACAACCGGCTGTTATATAAGTTAAGAAAAGTCGGGATTGGATGCAATTTATTGATGTGGATAAAAGACTTCTTAGTTGGGTGTCAACAAAGAGTAAGGGTGAACTCAAAGTTATCTAGCTGGGAAACTGTGCTTGGTATAGTGCCCCAGGGTACAGTTTTGGGGCCAGTGCTATTCTTCTGTATGTAAATGACCTTCCTTGTCTCCTATCATCATCGGTCTTGCTATATGCTGACGATGTCAAGATATGGAAAGCGATAAGATGTAAGAGTGATAGCTTAGAACTTCAAAATGACCTGAAGAAGTTATCTGAATGGTCTCAAACATAGCAGTTGCCGATAAATACTTCCAAGTGTGTTGTGATGCATATCGGTCATCAAAACACAGATACATACACAATGAATAACACTGAGCTACCTGTCGTCCAGACATATAATGACTTAGGAGTTATCGTTAGTCAAGACTTAAAGACTACTGCACACTGCCGTGCAATAGCCGCCAAAGGTTTTAGAACCTTATGGTCAATACGTAGAGCTTTTAGTCATGTCGACGCTAAAACGTTCTTGACTTTGTATACAGTGTTCGTTCGTCCTAAACTTGAGTGGTGCATACAAGCGGCTAGCACCTGCTAACAAAAGACAATGAGCTTCTGGAAAAGGCTCAGAGAACGGCGACTAAGCTGGTTCCCGGAATAGCGAAGCTTCCGTATGAATCTCGACTGCCCAAGCTGAACCTTTTCCCGTTGTCATATCGCAGAACTAGAGGCGACCTGATTACAGTCTAAAAATTGCTTAGTGATAAATTTGCACCTAACATGCCCTCATTTTTCTTGTCTTCCAAAACAGAGAATTTATGAGGACACTCCAAAAAAGTACACAAGCCGAGAACAAATTACTTGTCAGCTGACTATCGACTTTCCCATAGAATCATCAACGAGTGGAATTCACTATCTCAGCACGTGGTTGAGGCTCAATACGTAAACTCCTTCAAAAGAAATTTGGATCAACTGAGACACCACCATTGCCAGGACTAACATAGGCCATCGAGTCTCCTGTCCTTCCCAAACTGAAACTGAAGCGGGAGATATTTTTCCAATCATGATAATAAACTGGCATGTTTTCTCCCTTTTAGAACGTCTATAAATAAGCTCTCAGTCCATCTATGTTTTCGAGACTCATTATGAATGACAAGCCCAGGAATTCAGAGACCGTTCAGGTAACTATCTTCTAATATACCCTAGACATTCACTGAACAAATGCCTGGGGCCTTAATATATTTTTCTAGTTTGGATATTTCTATAACCGTGCGTACCATTGTAAACCTGTTTACGTCCAACTCGGTGAATGTTCAACATAGTTCTCGGAAGTACACTCAGTTGTATTGGTTAGCTACAACTCGGATAGGCTTGGTATGATATTCTCTGTTACTCTTCGTCATACTTCGAAGTCATCGCTTTAAGGAACGGGAGACCTGTCAACACTCGGATACGTATTGACACAGAAGGTGAATGGCAAGAGACATAGTATGAAGCCCTATAGTAGTTCACTAATTACTGATTTCCATGAGGAAATTTTGAATTTTCGCATTACTCATGCCGGCAATCAGTTAGCTAGTTTCTAATCTACTCAAGCACCTTTTGGAGATTATTGAGTTTTAGGTCTTCAACAGATGCCTGTGTGGAACGTTGTTAGAAATCTTGCTTAAATCAACGTACATAGCATCTACTAGTTTTCTATTATCCAAAGGCTCAGTTCGGCTATCTCTCACGAATGGGAAAATTGTTGTACATGAAAAACACTTTTCCAACAC